GTAAATTAATCTTAAAGTTATGTGGTGATGTCATAATAATCTCCCCCACATATCCTGTTCATAAATGTATAAAATGGGGTACGATCCTATCATTTAGTCAGTCCAAAAGTTCTAAAGTTATCATTAACTTTATTGCACGTCTGCTGTCTGCCGTAGTTCATTAAGTTTATCTATAGACCTTGCGGTCTCGGACACCAGTCTTTGATCCAACTTACTTAGCCGTGGGCTCAGCTAATTCTGTAAGTTTTCGAGCATCTTAAGGTATTTAATTGTGTTTTACCACCATTATTTTTGTTCTCTTTTATAATAATGTATCTATGCTTTAATTAATAAATGTACATATTGTATATAATACTAAGCTATTGTGTTTCCTATTCTCTGTTTGTGCTTTGCATGTAACAGAAATTTGGGGGTCATCCGGGAAAGAAACTTGAACGATCACAACTTTAATTTTTAATTTGTATTTTGCGATTTGTAATTTTTAATAATAACATAGGAACACTATGGCTCAGACTCATGTAGAGTTTGCCAGGAGAAAAGAGGAATTATTTAATAGATAGTGTGATTCTAAAGATGCACAAACCTTTGTTACGCTAAGGCAGTTAGTGTTGCTTGAAGAGTTTAAATCTTGTATACATCCTAATATTCGTACTCACTTGGATGAGCGTAAGATAAACTCATTAGAAGAGGCTGCTAGAGCGGCTGATGATTATGCATTAACACATAAACTGTCCTTTGTCTCAAAATCCAAGCCAGATTCTGGTGTGGATGTTAAATTAGGTCAGGGTTCTCCTACAACTATTATACCTGTCAATTCCAAGCCCATAGATAATAAATCAGGAACTAAGTTTTCACAGGGTTCAGGAGACAAGCACTCTGGTCCTAGACGCAGGGTTCCCGGAACGCCGCCCTCAGCGGCGAGTGCGAAACACAACTCAGGGTCAAAAGTGGAACGTGAAATTTGGATATGGTTTTGTAGTCAGATTTGCGAGAAAAACTTCAGCTACCCGTATTTCTCGACTGAGACGTCAGTAGGAGCTGTAATTTGTATGACAAGGAGATTGAGCAACCCTTCATTCATAGCCTATTAAGAGAATTTACGCCCAGAAACTTTGTAGTTATTAATATTTTGGTTATAATAGAAAATATTCATTTTTTGGTGACGTCACACTCACATTAGTTAGCATGCATACGTCATAAGCTAGATACGTCACCTTTTCCTGATAAGGCAAACTTTCCCGGCGTGCTTTT